TTATGGTTAAGACTACGACGGTATCTGATCATCTTCGATCCCCTAACTTTCGTTCTTGATTAATGAAAACGTCCTTGGTAAATGCTTTCGCAGTAGTTAGTCTTCAGTAAATCCAAGAATTTCACCTCTGACAACTGAATACTGATACCCCCGACCGTCCCTATTAATCATTACGATGGTCCTAGAAACCAACAAAATAGAACCATAACGTCCTATTCTATTATTCCATGCTAATATATTCGAGCAAAGGCCTGCTTTGAACACTCTAATTTTTTCAAAGTAAAAGTCCTGGTTCGCCAAAAGGCTAGCCAGAAGGAAAGGCTCGGTTGGGTCCAGTACGCATCAGAAAGATGGACCGGCCAACCAAGCCCAAGGTTCAACTACGAGCTTTTTAACTGCAACAACTTTAATATACGCTTTTGGAGCTGGAATTACCGCGGCTGCTGGCACCAGACTTGCCCTCCAATTGTTCCTCGTTAAGGTATTTACATTGTACTCATTCCAATTACAAGACCCGAAAGGGCCCTGTATCGTTATTTATTGTCACTACCTCCCCGTGTCGGGATTGGGTAATTTGCGCGCCTGCTGCCTTCCTTGGATGTGGTAGCCGTTTCTCAGGCTCCCTCTCCGGAATCGAACCCTTATTCCCCGTTACCCGTTGAAACCATGGTAGGCCACTATCCTACCATCGAAAGTTGATAGGGCAGAAATTTGAATGAACCATCGCCAGCACAAGGCCATGCGATTCGAAAAGTTATTATGAATCATCAAAGAGTCCGAAGACATTGATTTTTTATCTAATAAATACATCCCTTCCAAACAGTCGGGATTTTAAGCATGTATTAGCTCTAGAATTACCACGGTTATCCAAGTAGTAAGGTACTATCAAATAAACGATAACTGATTTAATGAGCCATTCGCAGTTTCACTGTATAAATTGCTTATACTTAGACATGCATGGCTTAATCTTTGAGACAAGCATATGACTACTGGCAGGATCAACCAGATAACTACATAGTAGTGACGTCCCAGCAGAACTTGCGTCCCACTGTTCTGTCGTACAAGTTATTCTTAGTTGAAGCATAGATAGAATCTACGCCGTGACTTCACATACTCGCAGTGTTTTACGACCGCAGGTTTGTTCGTCACATCCATATAGCCCTCTTATAATTCTCCCGGTATGGCGTCCGTGCGACATTGCAAAATTAATCACAAGTCGAACATAACCAACCATGGAGGGAGTTACACTTAGCAAGTCACAGATAATAAAATCCGGCTACTTACCAAGGCATACCCCCAAATCGGTTTTAGATGAAAATACTTGCTATCAGCTAGTAATCCACTAAATCCATCAGTGCTTATACACAGAATCGTTAGATATCTGGTATAAGACTGTTCAGGCTTACTGGCGGTAAAACCAGTTCGCCCATGCCGAACGTAGCGTATAGAGTAGGTCAGGATGTGTATATCCCTTCCAGACTCTCCCCACTCGTCGACTTGGCCTTAAACAAGCTCAATATTCCAATGAATTGCTTCACTGTTTTCTTGTTCTTGTCTTTTATGTTTTCACATGTAGTACCTCCGACATCATTTTCGCAGTGCGCGGCGCCAGCGCCTAACAAAGTGCGCACTTTTTCCCCTGCAAAACAGCTTTGTGTCCCAGTGCGCAGTCCCAGATAGCCATACATTTTTTCTGCGAAAACAGTACCATTTGCGCACGAAAAGTCTTAGCGAAAATTTCCCTCATCCACCCCCAAAAATAGCCAAAAGCTGCTATGAGAAACCACCCTTGGAAATAGCACTCCTATGTAGATGAATATATCAGTAGGGTAAGTTTTGGTGTACTTTTCATTGGTCGAAGTTTCAGAGATTTTTTTGTTACTAAAATTTGGAGATACAGTGGGGTCAAGTCGGGCATCTCACGTGACTTCACCGCACTTTGACCCCACAAAACACAACCTTCCCTTTGGAATGCCACCTCCAGAATGTGACCAATCAATTTCTACACATCAACTACCCCATATATATCAGTTACACTACCCCCTCCCATACAACATTCCTGCTCTAGGGGTGATTCCCCATAGTTAAGAAAAAGTCTTTGCGAAAATTTCAATTTTTTTCTCAAAGTCGTGTGCGACACAGGCGAAAAATACTTTTTTTCTCGCTGTGTTTCTAGCCCTAATTTCGGGCTACTTGCACGTGACGAGTGCGACCCAGGAGTCGCACAAACTCTTCGACGTAAGTAATTAGTACACTTTGGGAAAATTAATTAAAATCTGGGGTCAATATCAGATGCACAAATTACACAAACTATGGCACACCATAAAAATACCCTTCGGAATGCAATTGCATTACAACAAAATGATAATTCAGACTCGATCTTACTCAACTAGCAGCTCTGTTTTTGTTTCGGAATTGTGGCATTACTGTGGAAGGAGATCGACTATAAATCAGCCAATATTGATGGTACCGCCAAACTTAAGCACGGGATAGATTCCTATTTACTTTCCGAAACTACCCTGGTCATAATACTTATCAAAATCAAACATTCATGTTTTCTATTTGTTCTCAAAGTGATTTGTATTTTACTGAAGAATGGTTTTTTAGTAAAGCTTTGATACCAAAAAATGACTAAAATTCAAAAAATTCCACAGCTTCAACCAATGCAAAAAGTCAAACTTTGACACTTGGGAGGGGCTTACTAGAGTGTCTAGTTACTATGAAAATTATAACCACTATCTTAAACGCATTTTGAAATTTTCGCCCAACACATATGTCCAGATAACTCACCAACTATAACCACTATGACCACACATAAGGTCTCATTTTACTCGCCGGGTCTGGTTACACCATCTCCATTCCATAATTGATTGATTGCACTGCGGCAAGTCGGTCATCTGAAGAGTGCGTCACGTGACACGGCCATTTCACCAACATATACCCCGAAACTTCCTACTTTTATTACTCCCATCGAATTCTACGCCCCAAATTACCCTATACCACTTGAAAAACCACCACTGTTGCTAACAACTTTATGGTGTTTTGAGAAAAATGCGAAAAAGTCGTGTCTCAGCATATATAAAAACCAAAATCAGAAATTTTCGGTTGCGGCCATATCTAGCAGAAAGCACCGTTCCCCGTTCGATCAACTGTAGTTAAGCTGCTAAGAGTTGTACCGAGTAGTGTAGTGGGAGACCATACGCGAAACTACAATGCTGCAATCTTTTTTGTTAGTACACCTATTATTTTTATTACATAAACCCAGGTAAACCGGCTCCGATCTTTCAGATGATACTATTATCCAATAGGGGTGTCTAGGAAAAAGTGCGTGAAACAGGGGGGTGGTTTTGTACCTCTTTTCAGATTCGAACGCCTTTATATTACTTTTTGCTAAGACCGACTAACGCCGAGCCCTAATAGTAAGTTTCGCACTATAAAAAATTTCGCACTCTTTATTAGGGTTCTGCACATACAAAAAAAAAAATTCCGCACTATATAATTCGCACACATTAATTAGGGTTTATGTACCATACAAAAAAAAAATTAATTAGGGCTAAGATAATTAATTAGGGTTTATACCCACACACAAAAAAAATTCTCCTATCATTATAAAAATTTGGCCACTTATAAAACAAAACCCGGAGAATTTAATTCGTTTGATCGCAATTAGATGGGATGCGTCATTTTGATTTGATTCCTGGGGGAGTATACAAGGGTAAGTATTGTGAAATATGTAAGTGAATACAAGAGACAATTATTTATCTTTCAAACATATTTACTGCAGAAGCAAATGCATTTAAAGGCTACACACAACCAATTTTAATAGTGCTTTTTGAAAATATTGCAATAACAAACTTATCAATTAAACAAAATGGTGTACTAACAATAATAAAATAATCAGGTATTTCTGTTGTAACGGCAAACCTTTCTCATGTTGTTGTATTCCTAGAAATAAACTAATACTATCTTTTTTGAAAACGATATTTTAGCAGGTGAAGAATAGAAAGAATCTCAGTACACCACATCCTGACAATCATTCGGCTATTGTTGCACAATTGATTTGGATATTTAGATTAACTGGTGAAAATTGTATTGCCGATGGATTTGAAACTATTGCCGAGAATATCAAAATGAACAGTTTGTGCTATTGTTGATTTACTTTTGGTATCGTGTTTCATTCTTTCTTTTCTGCAAATAAGGACAGACTTCAAAATATGGTATACTGATTGTTTGGGTGACAGCCGGTATGTAATACCTTCTTCTGTATTTATATTGTGCATATATTCTATAAGAAAATAAATTATCTCCAAGAAATTCCACTTGTGGTATTGTGTTTTCTTTGTGGAGATTTGATATATTTATACTAAACGTTTGGTATTGATTATAAAACTGACTCAACCGTTGATACTTAATATCAAGAACTTACAATTGGTATTGTTTTTATGTATTTCCGAAATGATATTTCTTTCCCCTCGCCATGTAAAAAAACAACATTTCATATAGATGGCTCCTAATCAATAAAGAGTGGAGTAAAACTTGGTTCTATCAAGAGATATAGTATCTAATAAGTATTCTGTTTGTAATAACGATTCAAGAATGAAGACAATTAAAGCATATAAAGATCGTTTAGAAATATATGGTTTTCAAACTAGAATTTTCGATTGTTTTTCATATACTCCAACTGGTACGCTCTTTTTTTTTCCACTTGAACCTGACATACTTTTAAGAGCTGATAGAAAGACCGTCTTTATCTATTTTGTTATAGTCACAAAACCGGAATTATGAAGAATGGATCGTGGAGAAAAGGTGGAGAACTCTTTACCCACCCCTCTTTGTTTTGACAGCTGCACAGAAACAACCCCAAATTCTTACTTGGTAGCTATTCAATAGTTATATGACCTATATATATATATATAAATTCTAGAGAATATAAATAGTGGATTACAGTTCAAAGTTTCTTCTAGAATTCTTTCTCTCTCTTTTTTTTAGCAAGATCAATAATGTCATCGACTCAATCAATTTCATCTGAAATCAAGCCGTATACAGTTCACGAAGAAGAAAAGCAACCGAAAGTTGTAAAAAAATGCACTATCACAGGTGATGGTAACGAGTTTGTTGTAATTGGTGATCATAAATATTACAGACATGAATTAATGCAGGCTTTTGGTGGCACATTCAATCCTGGTCTTGCACCTTATCCAAAGCACCAATTTGGTAATCCAGCTTCCGTTGGTTTGGTTGCCACTGGGATGAATATTTTGGTAACTGGTTTGTATTTTGCAAATGCAAAAGGAATACACACCCCAAATGTGGTAGTTGGATTATGCATGTTCATGGGAGGCTTGATTCAATTCTTAGCTGGACTCTGGGGTTTTTTGATTGGTTCACAAGTGGGGACTTTTATTCTCACCGTTTTCACTTCTTATGGTGCTTTTTGGTTTGCATTTGGCTGTGTTTTCATTCCATCTTTTGGTATTCAAGAGGCATACGCTGATGATACTTCTCAATTAAGTAATGCAATTGGTTTTATGATTTTATGATTTTACCTTTTGCTATATTCACTACGATGTTAGTTATGTGTGTTATGAAGTCAACATTATCTTTCTTTTGGTCGTTGTTTACTTACGATTTGACAATTATTTTATTTGCGTGTGGTTTCTTAGTTGATAGTAATAAAGTTAAAAAGGCTGCTGGTATCATGGGTGTAATTAATGCTTTTGCCGATTGGTTTGAAGCTTTTGCAGGAACGGCTAACACACACAACAGCTACGTTGTTCCTCATGAGATTCCATTACCAGATCTTACTACCTTGTTTAGACGCAAACACAAGTGAACGGTTAAAAGTCTATGTGTATTTAATATTACATTATTTCTTAGTTCTTTATCTAGAATATACGTCAGCAGCTCGGTCTGTATCAAATACCAAGCCATCCTCGAACAAATACCTAAAACAAACCAGTTAAAAAAATAAGAAGAGATCAAATAAGTCTACGGAGTTAACTGAACTAGCTCAAATTACTTTTACAATAAACTATACCAGAGTTTGATTCGTCGATAGTGTCTATAGATTGGCTCCAGTATTTCAAAATTTGATTCATTGATATTAGTACCGTGTTTCCGTACTAGCGAGAAACAAAAAGACCGTTTCAGGATTGGCCACAAATACCGTCTCGGAACCGAGAAAGAAGGTGCGAAATAATATTCCATTACAGCAAATCGTGTTGCAATTTTTTCCATGCGACAACAAGCTAAATTATTTCTGGCTTTTTATTTTATATACTTTTCATATGTCTTAAAACCGTGAATCATCGGTTGACAGGAGTCTTGTTTTCTTCTTTTTTTCAGATGAACCGTTTATTTTTAGTGCAGATGACTACGTTACGGGACTAAGGAACAACTTCAAATCTGGGGTGATTTTATTTTAGTTTTGTGTTACAATGACTCACATTGTTTTATAATTGCCTATTCACTTGTGAAGAATTCGCTGGTACGGATGGTGAGTGTTTCTGAGGATTATAAATAGAAGAGAGGTTTCCTATGTTTGATATTGTCTGTACTTCATTTCTCTAATAACAACAAATAGTTTTTATATCACTATAACTAGTTTCAAAATGGTCACTCAAAGAATTCTCCGCGTTGCTCAATTAAAAACTGCTACTAGACACTATGTTCCAATCTATTCAAGAGCATTCTCTTCACACCAAAGATGTGTCAACTTCCAGAATTTGAGTAGTGAAGCCACCTTGATCTCTAATGATGGTGTGTTTGCTAATGCAGCTCCACAAGTTGAAGATACTGAAAACTTTGAACCAACTATCCATGGTTCCGATGATGTTGTTACTGCTGGTCCAGTCAACAGAGCCTAGATGATTATGAAATCCTTCTTATGTTTGTATATATTCCTAGTTTATGCTTAATTTTATGATGTTATTTTCTTGTTTGAATTCTTAGCCGATTTTAACTCTACTCTTAGTATCCATCAAAGCCCGGAGATATGATCAACACGTGACGATCATATTTTTTGTTGTGGCTTCCAATGGCGTAGTTTCATTTCGCACTTTTTTTGAATACAAGAAAAAAAAAGCAACAATCGTTAGAACGACGAAAACACAAATTATGTATAAACAACAAATCATTCACCATGACTTCATTGAGAATTGCTGCTGGACAGTTAAGTTCTTCATCAAATCTTTCCCAGAATCTTAGAGTTGTTAAAAAGTTAGTTCAAAAAGCATCTAAAGCTAACTCACGAGTTTTGTTTCTTCCAGAGGCAACTGATTATATATCACGAAATGCAAAGCATTCCATTGAATTAGCTCAGCAGGTTAATGATCAATTCTTATCCCCCTTGTTAGAATATATTAAAAATCTAAATGGTTCTACATATGTTTCGATTGGGATTCATCTACCTGGTGAGAAAAGGGTGAAGAATTTACATTTATTAATTGATCCCAAGGGTGACGTTGTATCCCGATACCAAAAAGTCCATTTATTTGATGTTGATGTTCCTAATGGTCCTATACTTAAAGAACTGAACTCGGTAGAGCCAGGAAATAAAATTGAAACCCCAGTATTAGTCGATGATTTTAAAATTGGCTTGGGAATTTGTTATGATATTAGATTTCCAGAACTAGCGTTACGATTGAGAAAATTAGGAAGTGATGTAATTACATTTCCAAGTGCATTCACCACTCGCACCGGTGAGGCACACTGGGAGTTGTTATCTAAAGCTCGTGCAATTGATTCCCAATGTTTTGTTGTTAATGCAGCACAATGCGGTAAACATGATGTTGGAAATGATCCAAATGACGAGTCTAAAATAATTTCTAGAATAAGTTACGGAGATACAATTATAGTAGATCCTTGGGGTGAAGTTTTGGCCAGGGGTAAGAAGTATACAGATGAACTTCCCAAAGATGAAGATGGTGATTACTACGAAATAATATATGCAGACTTAGATAAAGAAAAGTTGGATAAAACCAGAGTAAATATGCCATTATTAGATCATAGAAGACCAGACGTATTTGGGTATGAACTTTAGAGGCTATATATAGAGAATAATAATGTTTACTTAGATTATTAATTGTAGTTCGCGATGGAATCAAGGAAGAGCATTACAGCAAAGTCAATGATCTACAATGTTCGATAAAGTCGTTAATAAATAAATTTCGTTAAAGTTCGTACAAATGTGGTTGGATATAGAAATATATACTAAAAATTCAAGCTCTGTTGACTGGACCAGCAGTAACAACATCTTCAGACCCATGTATAGTTGGTTCGAATGATTCTGTTTCTTCAACTTGTGGAGCAGCGTTAGCAAAAACAGCATCGTTAGAAATCAAAGTAGCTTCGTTCAAGTTTTGAAAGTTAACACATCTTTGTTTTGAAGAAAAAGCTCTTGAATATACCGGAAGATAGTGTCTGGTGGCAGTTCTTAATTGAGAAATACGGAGAATTCTTTGAGTGACCATTGTAATGAATTAATTGTAATATGAATATGTAGTAAATAAGTATTAAAAAAACTTAGGATTAAAGATACAGAAAGAAAAAAAAAAATCATGCAAGATGAAAATTTCAACTTGGGAATTGGGTCGTATTTATATAGCGATTTCTTCAGGATCTAATTTTTTTTCTCTTCGTTCGTTGCAGTCATAATTTCCGGGGAAAATCAAATTTTTTTAATCACAAGAAAGTGGTACTGTTACACAAAATACAGAAAATCGATTCCTCAGCTCCGAAAATTGAGTCATTCGATGTGCGCATATGCAGTCACCAAATAAATTTTTTTTTTCTCCTGTGAGCCGTGAACCGTGGTGGTAAATCGTAAGATAAGGCTTTTCTTTGATACAATAGGAACAAACAAGGGGGTAAAATAGAAGGGAGAATCATTGTCTGTATATATTGGATTATCAGTGCCTATTGTTGACTTGATTGTATAAAAGATTGACATTGGTGGTGCTATAACTCAACGGACTTTGATTTGATTTTTTGTCTTTAGCATGATCTGATTGGTTCACGAAGAAATATTTTTTTTTCTCTGCGTTTGCAATTACGTAATGAATCATCCGGGGCTCAGGAACAAACAAAAATGTTTCATTATTTTTCTACACCGTGGATCGATTTGTGCAATGGAAGTATAGCTCCGGAATTTTAGCTTCCCTTTAACAAGGAGAAAAGTGTATCTGAATATAAGGTAAGAGTTTCTACTGTTGTCAATCAGTAGTTATATCGAATCATACGTTTGAGTAGTTTCCCCTTTTTTTTATCTCATTGGTAATACGACTTCATATTTGGAGGGATAAAAAAAAGTTCCTTTCATCCCTGGGGGTAGCAATCCATGAAATCCTTCCCACTTTCTATCATTAAAAAAAAAAACAACCCGATTATACAATTGAGTCACAAGATTAAGCATATAATCTAAGACTATATTCCAATCACTTGAAGAACTAAATTATTTACTCCGATAAGAAAGTCATGGACAATTGAAAAAACTAATGAGCTTACACAAAATTCATGTGCCCGGATTTAGCCCCAGGTTTTTCTGGTGTTATTTTTTTTCTGAGTAATTTTTGTGCGAAGCATTTCTATTCGTTGTTGATTCCGAAGGTCCTTGGTTTTTTTTCTGTTTTCATTGACCTTCTCTTTTATCTCCATTGTTGTTTTTTTTATTTCTTCTCCATACTTTTTTCTTTCTTTCTTTCCTACTTGCTCTCTACATTCATACTATTTCCTAATAACTTTGTCAACAAGGAAAACAATAATTATTCATTAACAAGAAAGTCCAACCAAAAAAAAAAAGAAAGACGTTTAATATTAATTCCCCGATACTTTCCTTTTTTTTTGACATAAATATTACATTCATACCATGGGTACCGGTTGGGAATTAACCCAAGCGTTGAAAGACAAGATCTACAAATATGCTTCATTCAACCAAACCCCTGTATCTTTAAGACAAATGGTCCAGTTTGGGCCAACTCCATCCCCGGGATCTATATTTTTAGCATCAAAGTTCATCGTGGAAGAGTTACCAATAAGATTGGCAAAAAAAGTGAAAGATCTAGATAATGCCCCATTGGGTTTAAGCAAAATGCCGTCCACCATCAAAGTAAAGAACTGGTATGCCCAATCTTTCCAAGAATTGACAGAGTTACATAAACCTACAATAAATGAAGAGTTAGCTAAACTTTTATTCAATGGTGCAACTAAACAACCAGTGCCAGAAGACACCATAACTGAACAACCACATATCAAGAAAGAAATACATCACATACCGGATTCCAACGATGACAACCCAGCAATCAACAACATCTTCAGTGACGATGGTATAGTTGTTCGACATCATCACCACCACCATTCGGTATCACGAACTTCGGCACGTCAAGGTGATAGTACACAAGCTCGTGTCGAGTCTCCTACTTATGGCATGACTTATTTCAATCCATGTCCTATTAACATTGTTTGGCCAAAAGAAGTTTATGACTACAATAAGTTGGTGAAAGAGACATTGGATGTGATTAAGAAAAGACACGATGCCACTGTGGCAACCATGGCTCAAGGTGTGCAAGAATGGAAAGCTGAAAACCAAACCGTATTGGTGAATTCCCAGATTCAAACATTTTTGGATCGTTTCTATATGTCACGAATCGGAATCAGAATGTTAATTGGACAACATATTGCATTGAATTTGGCCCAAAATTCCCCAACCAAACAGAGATTTAGTGCATTAATTAACGGTTCCCAAGGTAACACCAAAAAACCACGCTCAAACTATGTTGGTGTCATCTGTACTGATTGTAACGTTGGAGAAATAGCTGAAGATGCTATTGAAACCGCTAAATACATTTGTGAAGAGCACTATGGGTTGTTTGAAGCTCCTGAAGTACAATTGATTGCTCCTAGTCAGGATATTAGTTTCATGTATGTTCCTGGTCATTTGATCCATATGTTGTTTGAAACTTTGAAAAATTCGCTTAGAGCTACTATTGAATTCCACACACCAAAATTGAAACAAGAATTAATGGAAAAGGACCCAAGTTTGAAATATGATGAGATTGACTTGAACGATTTGAAGTTCCCACCAATCAAGGTGATCATATCAGAAGGAACTGAAGATATTACAATCAAAGTATCAGATGAAGGAGGTGGTATTGCCCGTTCCTCCTTGCCATTAGTCTGGACATATTTGTACACAACTGTGGATGAAACACCAAAATTGGATTCAGATGAGACCTCCTTCAAAGCTCCAATGGCTGGTTTTGGGTATGGTCTTCCAATCAGTAGATTGTATTCGCAGTACTTTGGTGGTGACTTGAAGTTGATCTCCATGGAAAACTACGGTACTGATGTATACATTCATCTCAATAGATTGAGTAGTAGTAACGAGCCGCTTCCATGACTAGCTACTATGAAGGGGAACGTAAAAATTAGTTCCGTTGTTACATTATGTTTAGTATATCTGTTTGTTCTTGGATTGCTCTTTGTGTATTAGAATAACGTACATAGAAACCAAACCAAAAAAATTAAACCATTATTTATAATCCTAAACAAACTTGATTCGTTTTCAGTTTTGCAACAAGCTGTGTAGTCTGTAAAGCTTACCTCATGGTCGTGTGAGTTGTTCAAGAATAGTCAACACCGAGGACTAATTTTTTTTTTCACATGAGGCGAAAAAGCGGGGGATGATCATGTATTAGCATACTTTTTTAGGGAATATTAGAATCTCCTCTATTTTTTAAAAAAAACACTTGCTTTTGAATGTCTGTGCTTTGGTATAGCATCTTTCAGAGTGTTCTATACAAATCCAAGCTTCTAGTATCAGGTTCTCTAGCTGAAGAATAACCAAGTTTCATAAGCGCTTATCAGTCATCACCGTCACCCCACACGTGACTCATTAGCGGAAATTACCTTTATTTTTTTTTTTTTTCTTGATCCCAAAGTGGAAAAAGCGAACGAACAAAAACAAGAGAGACTGAGGGAAGAAAAAAAAAAACGACAAACAATTGAAACTTCCTTTTCTTTCAATAGGCAATAAGTGAAATCACACATCAAAAATTAACCACAACTGATGACATCACAAATAAGAACAAAACCTTGGGAAGTATCACAGGGGAAATCAGCAGCATCAACAGTTCCAGTACCTGAATCTACAGTTCCATCGATGAGTTCATCAACAACAACAGCACCAGCAAACTCAGCGACACCATCCACAACATCAGCAGCTGCTGCTGCCGCTACTTCATCAAGCATAGCACCAAATATTCCAGAGCGCCCCACAAACTTGATATCCGATTTCAATACAGCTAGTGACTCACCGTATGGTGGTTATTCTGCAAATAGAGGAGGATATGGTTATGGTGGAGGATATGGTTCATCAATGTTGGGCGGTGGATACGGGTCATCAATGTATGGTGGTTATGGTTCATCAATGTATGGCGGAGGTTATGGCTCATCAATGTACGGAGGTGGTTATGGAGGCTATGGTGGATATGGATCATCATTTGGAGGAATGTACCCAAGTATCGGGGCTGGGTTATATCAAGTGATTGATGCAATCAATATGATTGATCAAACTTTTTTTGCACTTTCAAATGTTGCAGAACAATTCAGGCATATGGGTAACGTTGTTACTTCATTATTGGGAATATATGCACTCAAGGACTTTCTTAAAAAGATTTTGCGCAAGATATTAGGAATCAAGACAAAGTTCAGTTTACAAGAATTTCAAAAGTTTCAATCACTTGACAACAAAAATACAAACAAGAGCAGATTTAGAATTTGGCCAATATTGGTGTTTGTAGGGTTACCTTTATTGATTTCCAAGTTAATAAGTGGGCTTCAGAAACAACATCAAGAACAGCAATTAGCTCAACAAACTCAACAACAACAACAATTAACACAATCACCTGCATCCGTCCAATTTGCTAAAGCATTATATGAATTTACTCCAGAAAATACACAAATAGAAATCCCGCTCGAGGTGGGTGAAATAGTCGCTATCTTGGAAGATAAAAGTGGCTGGAGCCGTATCAGAAAGAGAAAGGGTGAAATGGGCTGGGTCCCAACTAACTACTTGGAATTAATCAAAAGAAACGCAAATGTATGAGTCGTCGTCTGACTTATGTTATATATGCACACACACATATACCTTATTTATATAGTAAATTAGAGATTCTTTAATCCTTAAAATACAATTATGTAGTTCTTATTATACATTATACAGCAACATGTGAACTATATAGAACTATATGTATATACTTTCTTATAAGCCGTCATCAGGTCTACATTGTTCACTTTCAACTTTGGTACCTTTGTCCTGCAAATTATCATATCCCAATTTGTTTTTACGTACTTTAGAAACAGCGTCAGAGCGGTGTTTAGCAGTTTGAGCCAAATCAATCCCTTCTGCAAGAACTTCTCCAGTTTTCTTATTCAACTTTTCAACCGACTCCTTTGCTCCATGTGCAGCTTTTTCAGCATATTCGATATCCTTTGCTGCCATCTTTCCAATTTTTGAATTTGCTTTTGATAAAACATCTTTTGCAGCATCAACAATCGAGTAATTGCGAGTAGCGATAATTGGATATCTACAAGCAGCAAAGCGTACCATTGAGGTTTGATAAACAGTAGAACGTAACATGATAAACTTTAATATCTGAATAGATTGAAAAGAAAAGTGTATCTCTTTTGAAAATTTTTCAACTGGTTGGTGGAGGGAATTGGGATTTTATACTTGATCGTTGTTTTTTTTTGGGGAGTGTAACTTACATCCCCTCGAAATGCATGCATGATTAGAACATAGCAATTAAAGGAGTTGAAGCTTTTCTATTATTGCTGCAATGGTCTGATTTTAACGTAATATTGTATGTGTTTTCTGAGAGGAGGAGATTGTTAGTCTAGTTACTTCTTTCTCTACTTGTTTCTTTTCTTTTTTTTTTTTCTTGCTTTATGATTCATCATGCTGGTGGAACAATAGACTTTTTTCTTTAATAAAAGAACTGCTAAACCTCGGGGCTGAATGATCATTCCCGTTAGATTGCTCCTTATACACGACTTTGATCTTTAATTCTATGTTTGATTCTTGGGTACTATACTATCGGATATCCGAGATATTCTTAAATTATATTACTAAACAAAAAACTATACTACGAGTATACCATTATATCTTGTTCTTGATTTTATCCAAGTCCTGTGCGTCTTGGATTCCATCTGCTAATACTTTACCAGTTTTCCTATTTGCTTTTTCGGCTCCTTCCTTAACATCTTTAGCAGTGTTCTTCGCATCATCTTTAACATCTCTAGCTTTATCCTTCATATCATCCTTAACGTCATGAGCCACATCTTGTGCATTCTGAATTCCATCAGCTAAAACCCTACCTGTTTTCAAATTTGCATCCTCGGCACCTCTCTTGACACCTTCAGCAGTGTCTTTTACTGTATCTTTAACATTGGTGGTTGCATCTTGTGCTTCTTGTATACCATCAGCTAAAACCTCCCCGGTTTTCACATTGGCCTTCCAGACTCCTTCTTTAACTTCATCAACTGTTTCCTTCACAGTATCTTTGACACTGCTGGCTGCATCCTGAGCCTCCTGGATTCCTTCAGCTAAAACCTCCCCAGTTTTCACATTGGCCTTCCAAACTCCTTCTTTAACATCGTTAACTGTGTCCTTGACTGTATCCTTGACATTGGTTGCAGTGTCTTGTGCGTCTTGGATACCACCAGCCAAAACTTTACCTGTCTTCAAATTTGCGTCATGGGCGCCTTTCTCAGCATCTTTAGCTGTATCCTTAACTGTATCCTTGACATTGGTTGCAGTGTCTTGTGCATCTTGGATACCATAAGCTAACACTTTACCTGTCTTTAAGTTGACATCCTCTGCACCTTTTTCAACATCTTTAGCAGTATCTTTGGCATCTTTAACACTATCTTGAGCACCTTGGATTCCATCAGCAAGTGTTTTACCAACTTTCAAGTTAGCATCTTCAATTTTAGATTCTACCTTTCTTGCTGCAGCTTCCTCTTTTTCAGCAGCTTCTTTTTCTCCTTTTTCCCCAAAGAGTACTTGATTTATACCAGATAATACCCCATTGTTGGTTCTTGTAATTGTAAATCTTCTACCAGGTGTGATAAAAACACTAGGTTTGCTTCTAATTATAACTCTTCTTAACATGATGAATTGGTGTGAATTAATTATGTAGTTGTTGGGAAATAAGTTTCATTTTTCAAGTTTTGCATTTCGACAGGATTGCTACTTCGTTTTAAATGTTACTTGTTGACTTTATTTAATTTGCTTCTAGAACTTTACATTGTTAAACTTCAGTTGCTACGCTTGCTACCAATTTCAAAAAAGAGGACAAAAAAAAATCTTAAAATAGTTGCGCATGGTGACATAATTACAGACGCCTGTAGGAAGCAATCTACCCTTATTTGACGAAATGCTTATGTATATGTACACTTGTTGAACATGGCAAAATAAACTTGTTTACACCAACTAATTATCTATATATCCTAATCATGTAAGTCATCAATGTTGGTTGTATGAGGTGAAAAGTTAACTCGTCTTGCACTTCGTGACGAATCGTTAGAAGCGCTTCTTCTTCTTCGTCTTCTTTCTTCGGATCTATCATCATCATCATTGTCAGCAAATCGAGCTGTTCTATTTTCAACATCACCAGTAGTATCACTTTCAGCGGTGTTTGAAGCGCTGGTAGAAGTACTTGTGGAGTTACCATTATTGTTAGGGTTTCTGTATCTTGGGTTTGCAACATTAGTGCTAAATCGGTTGATTGTTCTTGATACTGGTCTGAAGGTGTTTGTTCTTCTACTCACAATCGGATCGCCAAAGGGAAATTTCCTAGGCATTACCAACTCTGGATCCATGGCACCTACTCTTGATTGAGAATGAGGTGAAGACCATTCTTGACGCATATAAGAATCAGTAATTGGTGTGATTCTTGGATTGAATGGACGTCTAAATGGATTGAATATATCAGTGGAATGGTTTTCGATATGGTCTATCATGTCATCTCTTGAATTGAAATTTGATAGTGTACGTTGCTCTATGGCTTCTCTTTTGGATTTCTTCAGGTTTTCATTTTTGGCTTCAACTTCCTTTCTGCATAATGGACAGCTGACGTTGGATTTCAACCATTCAACAATACACGGTAACCCAAAAACATGTTCACATTCTGGCATCTTGACAGCTATATGGCCCTCATTTTGATATTTATTAAGTTTCTTATCAGTAAAACTCTTATCTTCATATCCTGGAAACTGATCCTCCATAGTAACATCCTCTAATGTAGAAAGGTTTCTTTGTGGGAAACGGCTATAGTAAGCACTACCTGGATCAGTTGGAAAAAATACCAGTGGATCGTTGAACTTTCCCGTCTTAGCCATTGGTTCATGATATATTCCATATAATGCAAGCTTCTCCAGTAACACCTTGTCATTTTCAATCGCGACATCTGGTCTATCACCAAAATTGCTTGAGTTTGTTGTTTTATTGTTTTCATTTGCCTTCTTGGTGGTATCAAAGGCTTCATAACAAATCAGACAAAATTTGTCATTCAACTTCGACACGTCAACTTTCTCCAAACTAGCTATGGCTTCTTCTGACGCTGGTTTCTTTTTCTTTGAATTGAATATGGTTTCAAGGAATGGTCGGATGTAAGTGTTCTCATCCATAAATTCGAGGTTTATCATAAAGTCGCCCATTTTTGATTCAATTATTATTGTTGTAGTGTAATGAACGTATTAAGTACAACAAAAGAAAGAAAAAAAAAAAAGAGGAGTGAACATTGATACAAGTTTGATAGATTTGGTGTGAAGGATTTTCATATTTTTTTTTTTTCTTCTGTTCGTTCTTTCCTCTCTGATTCTATATTTTTCCTTAGTCGGCGCTATAATGTGCGACACTAGAAGTGACAACTATCCATAACCTGACCCTATGCCCTAAATTGTGTTTACGAATTCTTAGTAGTACAAATATATTTAAAGTTGAAAAATAGAAAAGAAATACAGAATAACTACTTAAATATATAAAACAATAGGTCTTATATGATTAGACATTTAATTGTCGTCTAAGATTTTGATATTGTTGACGAACAGCAGGCGCTAATTCCAGTTCTTCCTCCGGAGTGATAGTCATGATTGTAAGCGCTAACTGACCCTGCTCCGGTGGGAAGCTTAAGATAGTTCTCTGCATGTCTGGTGAAAGTGTATGCCAACGTGGATTTTGCGTGAGCGGTGAAGTCTGATTCTGGACCATAGGAGGAGGTGGTGGTGGAGCCTGTTGTTGCTGATGAAATTGTTGACCATTGTTGCCATATGGATTAGTGTTAGCATTTTGTTGATATCCTTGATTTTGGTAGTATGTCTGTGTATATTGTGGCTGTGGTGTGGATGAAGATGATTTCTGAGATTCAGCAATAACGTCATTATCAATAAGTCCCATCAAAAATAATGCTTGTGCAACTGGCAAAGTAAATTGTGGGTTCTGATGAAAAAAATCTTGAACTCTCATAGGGTCTGTTTGAGCAACGTTCTTCATATTAGCTATCATTTGAATTAGTTCTGGTGGGTATATTTTACTTAAGGTCACATTGATGTTATCTGGAGTTTCTAGACGGAATTCGGGATTGAATGGCAAAGACTGTGCTGCATTCACCAACTTTTGTGGCATTTGTTGATTTGGTCCCATTGAAAGTGATACAGGTTGTTTTGGCATTAACATCAGTGAAGGTGGAGGTGGTGGTGGTGTTTGCTGATATGATCCATAATTTTGATACGGTTGTTGAAACTGATTTTGCTGTTGTTGAGGTGGCGGTGGAGGTGGGTATTGTGACATGTTGCCTCCTCTCATAGACTGGGAAGGTACTTGGGAAGAGGAATTATTAGTGCCATTGATCAACATTTGGTCTGGTAACTTCACATTTGGTGGTAATTTGGAACGATTCAATTGTAAAATGGGTCTTGATTCTGGTGGAATACGATTGGCTTTAAACCCTTCTTTCGACGATTCTATTCTCAATTTCTTAGTACGATTATTGGTAAAAATGAGTATTTGTTGTAGAAGTGGCATTGCCATTGCAGCATCTTGAACGGTTTTATACTCAACAAAACAGAAACCTTTATTTTTCCCAACATGATCAAAACCTAATCTTATATCTACAATGTCTCCAGATCCATATACAACGGAACCCACTGTCTCTTGATCCCAATCAAACGGTATTTGTCCAAGATAGAGGATATTAGAGTTCATTTGAGGTGGCATGCTTTCGTACAAATTCGTGTAAATGATGACGATGATGGTCGTTCAACAAAAGAAAACAAAGAGAGAAAAAAAAAGTCCTTGAAAAAAAAAAAAAATCCTCGCAGAGTAAGAGAACTTAAAAAATTTAGCACGCGCATACAGATGATGAATTATTTACCACTGTCACACGACCATTTTAATGTAATTGAATCTTATATACTCTTGAAAAACCTATCAAAATAATTTTTAAATGACTGGAAATATTATGAAATCAAAGATAAAGAGCCATATAATTATCATTTAGTTTCAAAATAGGCTTAAAAATTTTTTGAACTATGTTTTTGGGACTTTTTCTACCTACAAGACCTGTAATGAGCACTATCTAGATCAATATGAGCGATTATATCAGGTTAAACCATAATTACCTATAACTTGGATGAGTACCATGCGTTTCCTAAAGAGTTCTGCGGTATTTTGGTATTTAAATAAAGCAAAAACAATTTTCTAATTATTATCAAATTTTTGCATCATTTCTAAATGAAAATTCAAAAATCTTGGTTTCAATTCTACAAAAAAAAAAGGTACAATAATGACAAAAACATCTCTATTACCATTCAAAAGAAGCTATACAATAAAAATCTATACAACTCTTTCAGCACCACTCAATTTAACAGCTGCACCATACTTTTGTAATTTTGTTAATAAAGTATCACCTTGTTTGATCAATAAATGGTACTGGTTATTCTTGTTATCTGGTCTATTAGTTTCGATAATTCCATTGACTTTGTCAATAGTACAATTCAACTTCTTGGTAGGAATGAACTTGCACAAATCTTGATCCAAGAACTCTTCACTTATGTTGAAATTGTTTGCCATAGATTTTAAGGATAATGATTTATAACTCTCCAACAATTGACCATAGGCTTTGCATCTCATTTCTCTGATAAAGTAGTTAGCATGCTTATGTAAATACTTATTTGGCAACAATAACTTGTCATATGACTCCAAGAGGTATTGAAAGAAACAGTTGTACTGACAAGTGTACAATGAATTTGTCAAGTTCATCAATGGTTCCAAGTCTGGAGCCGACGAGGAAATAGATAAAATTTCTGGGGAATCAATGATCTTGTCCTTCAAATCAACTCTATCCAAAGTCAAGACACCAGCAACAGTTGCGTAATGGGCGATCTGTTCATATGAACAAAGTTCTGTAGAAGTAAATGTGGCTAATGAATCAATCAACAATTTAGCAGCTTCACTGAAATTTCTAGTTGCCAATAGATAAATACCATTGTATGCTTTGTAACGGTTACGACGTTCCCAATCTCCCCCTTTTTCACTCAATTGAGCTATTTGTTCCAAATGTTTATGAACCAGTGGCAAATCGTTGAAGAAGAAATCGATTCTTGCCAAAGTCAATAAATGATCAATTTTATTACCAGTTCCAGAACATAATTCCAATACTTGTTTGAAAGTCTCAGTTGCATTCTTTCTATCAATGATTTTAGTGTAGTATTCTGCCAACTTTGTAGTAGTGGATACTACATCCAATTCAGTTTCTTCTTCTCCTTCCGCATCTTTAATCCTTTGTTTCAATTCTTCAATTACGGTTTCGTTCTTGGCTGACAATTCTTGGTATAATTTTTCATCATATGGGAAATCTGGAATTTCAGCATGCAAATATTTATAATATGGTGCAAGGTCTTCCTTCTTGATTTGTTCGAGAATCTCCTCTATGACCTTTTTACGCTCTTCTTGAGACAAGTCTGTGTGTTGCAATAAGAATTGTTGTTCAGACAATTTGAAGTCTGGAATTCTAGGAATATCTGATTCAATTTCCATTTTCGATTAGTTAATGAGTTTGGTTCTTATGGTTTCAGTGTTGGTGATAGTTCAACAAGTACTTTTTTTTTCTCCCAGCATTTGCCTTCAGGAACAAAGAAAAAAAAACAACAGCTGAAGGATGTCGTAATGTCAAATGTCGTAGAATCGTATTTTGCACACCCACAAATCACGTGTTCCAACTTTGTGCGGAAATCAGATATTTTCCCGCTTGACGAGTTTGTATGGTACAAATATGTGGGGTCGGCAAAAGGATACTTTCGGGGTAAAATTTCAAACCCATATATACTACTTTCTTATCCCACTTTCTCCTTAATTATCACCTTATAAATACAAGATAATATCTCCTTCATTTGATTCTTACGTCTTGTATTTTTTTTCTTTAATTTTCTTTCTATTCTTTTCAACAACAACAATCCAATCCCAATGTCAGTCAAAGAAGATATCCCAGCTGTTTTTCTTTCCCAAATTTCTCCTCGTGGTCTTGAAGCTATCCAGAAAACCAAAGACTTTGTCAATGACTACTGTATTCCAGCCGATGAAATCTACTTCAAACAGGTCTCTACTGATCCTGCCAAAAGATGGAAAACAATCCCACCTATTATTGAGACATTGAAATCCAAAGCCAAAGAACTTGGTTTATGGAATATGTTTTTATCCAAACATTATAAGGAAGGTCCACAATATACCAACTTAGAATATGGTTTGATGGCTAGATATTTGGGTCGTGCACACACTGCTCCTGAAGCTACTAATACTGCTGCTCCAGATACTGGTAACATGGAATTACTTGCTAAATACGGTACTCCATACCAAAAAGAAAAGTACTTACAACCATTGTTAGATGGAAAGATCAGATCTGCTTTCTTGATGACCGAAAAGGGCACATCATCTTCCAATGCATTAAATATCTCCACTAGTGCCAAAAAGAATGCCAGTGGTAACTATGTTCTTGATGGTGTAAAGTGGTTTGCTTCAGGTGCTGGTGATCCAAGGTGTTCTGTTTGGTTGGTCATGTGTAAAACTGAAGACAATAAGAAGAACCCATATGCAAACCACACCGTGTTGGTTCTTGATGCCAAGAGAGCATTGGCTAGCGGCAGGGCCAAATTAGTCAGACCTTTGCATGTTATTGGATATGATGATGCTCCTCATGGTCATTGTGAAATTTCTTTTGAAAACTACGAAGTTCCTGCTGACGAAATGCCAAATGCTGTTTTGGCCGGTATTGGAAGAGGATTTGAGTTGATTCAGTCTAGATTAGGACCTGGTAGAATTCATCATTGTATGAGAGCTATTGGTACAGGTGAAATTGCATTGTTGATCATTGCTCATAGAGCTAACCACAGAATGATTTTTGGAAAACCAATGAAAGACAGAGAAGGATTTTTGTCTAAGTTCGGTCAGAGCAGAATTGATATTACCAGATGCTTGTTATTGGTATTAAATGCTGCTCATAAAATTGATATTTCCAACGCAAAGGCTGCTCAGAAAGAGATTGCCATGGCTAAGATTGAAACACCAAGAACCATCTCTGATATCCTTGACTGGGGTATCCAAGTTTTTGGCGCAGAAGGGGTCTCACAAGACACAGACTTAGCTAGAATGTATGCTCTCAACAGAACCTTGAGAATTGCTGATGGTCCTGATGAAGCTCACTTGGCACAATTGGCAAGAAATGAGGCCAAAAAATTCCCAGAGGTCGATATCTTCTTTGAACATGTTGCTAGTCAACGTAATAAATTATAGGCAGTAGTAGAAGGAAATTAAGAACGAAAAAAAAAAAAAAAATTATTCGTGATTTATATTCATTAGAATTAATACATATCTGTTTTGTAAAAATCATTAATAAGTCCTGTTTGTAACAAGTTTTTCGTTTTCACCTTTTCTTCTTTTATCCTTGTTTGGTGTTTCATTTTCAATTCATGTTCGGCTTGTTCAAATGAAATTTGTTGTAACTTTTCCAAATGATCATCTTCTCTATCAATATCCAATTCACCCATCATAACAACATTTTCCCCTCTAACCATAAATACTCCACGATATACTTCACCGAAACGAGCTGGTGCTTCCCCTTCTTCTTGTAAATATATTCTTTCAAACGTGTCTTGTAATACTAGATTTGCAAATTGGTCAAAAGTTCTCAATATACCAAAAAGATTTCTTCCATCTCTTAACAAGACAAATATCTTTCGATCTACCGCACCAACAATGGCTGCGGCAGTGGTGAATGCATAACTTTCCAAATATAAATCTTCAACATTAGGACCTATTGGATCAGAAGATCGAACTTGTTGCTGTTGTTGAGGTGAAGCACTGGACATGATGTTTTATATAATGCTCTTTTATTTATGCTTTGTGACAACGTCAATGTTGAACATATCGCTATTATTTTTTTTTTTGTTTTTTTCTTTGCTTCAAGAAGAACTGGCGGAAAAATTTTGTTCAAGGATTAAAATTATTGTAAGCAAGTACACGACCAGAATTGGATATTTACCAATTGAGTATACTCAGAGTTAGACCCACCTGACATCATTAAAAAGCATAATGTTGCTAAGGACAAAGGTTCAATTAGTAGTTTACATTATTCGGGGACATATTTATTTGTTCTATCAATAGTTATAAGGGGGAGTGGGATTTTTCAAAGATTTGATTAGGGAATATGTTCCTACTGACGATTAACAGAGAACTACAAGCTATTCCGGTAGCTTAACTAAACGACATCAAAGTTCAATGATTACAGATTGAAGTCAGTTTTATCTCTACAGAGCAATTTCAGTTTCCATGGTGTAGATTTAGAATAGAAAAGGGAGATGCAAAATCGCACTGTAAACCAAGACCAAACAGAGATGAAAAGAAAAAAAAAAAAAATTCAGCAGATGAGATACAGTATATGCAACTTTGTTTTCACTACTTTTAACCATTATCTAGTAGTATTCATACCGTATAATATGTCCTTTTTTGAATATAAAGATACTATCGAAGAAGGGGATTTAGTCCTTGCCTATGTCACCAGAGCTTTAATTAAGCCTATATTTGTCAAGAAGGGAGAGATCTTCAATACAAGATACGGTCATTTCGAACATGATAAAATGATTGGATTGAAATATGGTGAACAAATGCCAGGAGCCAAAGGCTATGGTTTTATTCATTTGTTGTATCCAACACCAGAATTATGGACATTGTCTTTACCACATAGAACACAAATTGTTTATACACCAGACTCATCTTATATTATCCAAAGATTGAATGTTGCACCAGGATCAAGAATTATTGAAGCAGGAACTGGATCAGCTTCATTCACTCATTCATTTGCAAGAACTGTTACTTCACTGGGGAAAGTCTTTACATATGAATTTCATGAACCTAGATATTTGGAAGCAAAGAAAGAATTGGAAGAACACAATTTAACAAACACAACCATTACTCATCGTGATGTCTGTCATGGGGGATTTAACATCGAAAATGAAACCATCAATGGTGACGTTGTCTTTTTAGATTTACCATCTCCATGGGACGCTATACCACATCTTGAATCTGTTATCTCAACCACAAAGAGAGTCGGTATTTGTTGTTTCTCTCCATGTATCGAACAAGTAGATAGAACAGTGAAAAAGTTAGAAGAGCTTGGGTGGACAAATATTGAAATGGTTGAAGTTTCATCAAGACGTTGGGGAGTAAGAAAAGAAATGGTTAGAACTGTGGAAGATGCTGTCATGAGAATAAGAGATATCCAAGGAGTAAGAAAAACAGGTATAGAGATTATGAAAAGAGGATCATCTGAAGAACCACCTGCTAAGATCCAGAAAACAGGAAAAGGTTATAAAACTCCAAAGAAGAGCTCAAAGGTTAAGGAAGGAGATGAAAACTACGAATGGCTTAACGTTACCAAATCAGAATCAGAAATCAAAAGTCACACATCATACTTGACATTTGCATACAAAGTACCGAAGAAGGAGGAAACTGAATAAACTAGTTATTTATAGTTTTATTAGTATAGTTCAACTCATAGACGTTAGTAGTGCACCTTTGCACAAGAATTTGACCTTCGTTTTTTCAGCTCTCTCCTTTTTTTTCTCTCTCTCTCACTTCCTGCCACCGAGAATGAAGAAAAAACAGTGCCGACTTTTTCTTTTGTCCAACTTTGATAAAGAAAACGAAGTCTTGTTTTATCAATCAACTATAAACTAGAAAACAATAATGTCTACTCCAATTGGTATGTTAGCCTTCAATTGAATCACACCTTTTTTCTTGGTGTATTTGTTTCTCATTGTACCGAATTACTAACTGATAATTTACAGTTCTTGATCAAGGTACCGGTTTCGTAAAGATCGGAAGAGCAGGTACCAATTTTCCAGATCATACATTCCCTTCAATGGTTGGGAGACCAATTTTGAGAGCAGAAGAACGTAATATATTAGTTCCTTCAGATGTAGAAATTAAGGATATAATGTGTGGATCTGAAGCAAGTGAAGTTCGATCATTATTGCAAATTAACTATCCTATGGAAAATGGTATTATCAAGAATTGGGAAGATATGGAACACTTATGGGATTATGCCTTTTATGAACGAATGAAAATTAATCCACATGGTCAAAAAATTTTGTTAACTGAACCACCTATGAATCCATTGAAGAATAGAGAAACCATGTGTCAGGTTATGTTTGAAAAATATGGATTTGATGGTGTTTATGTTGCCATTCAAGCTGTCTTGGCCTTATATGCACAAGGTTTGAGTTCAGGTGTTGTTGTTGATTCAGGTGATGGGGTTACACATATTGTCCCTGTGTATGAATCTGTTGTGTTGAATCATTTGACAAAACGTTTAGATGTTGCCGGTAGAGATGTCACTAGACACTTGATCAATTTGTTGTTCCGTCGTGGTTATGCATTCAACAGAACTGCTGATTTTGAAACTGTTCGTCAAATCAAAGAAAAATTGTGCTATGTATCCTACGATTTGGCATTTGACGCTAAGATGGCACATGAAACCACCACTCTTGTGGAAAGTTACGAATTACCAGATGGAAGAGTTATAAAAGTTGGTTCAGAAAGATTTGAAGCACCAGAATGTTTATTCCAACCACATTTAGTTGATGTTGAACAACCAGGTGTTGGTGAAACTCTTTTCAATACTATACAATCAGCAGATGTTGATGTAAGATCGTCATTGTACAAGGCAATTGTTTTATCCGGTGGTTCATCAATGTATCCAGGTTTACCTTCAAGATTGGAGAAAGAATTGAAACAATTATGGTTAACTAGAGTATTGCATGGTGATGCTACCAGATTAGATAAATTTAAAGTAAGAATCGAAGATCCACCAAGAAGAAAACATATGGTTTTCATTGGTGGTGCTGTCTTGGCTAATATCATGGCTGATAAGGCACATATGTGGATTTCAAAACAAGAATGGGAAGAACAAGGACCTAGAGTATTAGAAAAATTAGGACCTAGATAGATTCATAGCATTCCATCATATATTATTAATAATAAAAGTATAAAATTGTGTATAAATCTCAGAATCATGTATCTAAAAAAAAAAAAATTCTATTGACAATATCTTAGATCTTCCAATCGCTTTAAAACCAGATTCACAAGCGAATCATAACTATCACTTGTCATATTATCTCCTGAGATTCTGCTGTTATAACCATAATTTACACTCTGGTGTACTATCTCTCTAATGAAATTTTCAGAAACGACTTTTGGCAGAAGGAAATCGCTTTTAAGACACTGCTCGATTGTCCAACGATCATCTGGATTTCTATGTAAACAATTTTGCATCAATTCAATAGCACTATGAGGAACAGCAACATTACCTATTCCATGAGTTGGGAATGGAATCTTGACTTGAGGGTTGGTAATTGCTATTATCTTTTGCAGACCAGAATAACCATGAAATGGGGGTTTACCGTAGACAAATTGATAAAGCATGCAACCAATTGACCAGATATCAGATGGTTTACCAACTCGCCAAAGATTTCGCACAGATGTTTCTCCTATTGCTTCAGGTGCCATGTAATTTGGTGTCCCAATTTGATTCTCTCGATAAATATTCATTGTGTGATCTGGGACGGCATTAGCAATACCAAAATCAATAAGTTTCAACATCCCTTTGACAAATAAAAAATTAGCTGGTTTTAAATCACTGTGCACAACGCCAGCATCGTGGACTTCTCGGAGACATTTAAACATTTCAAGAACATGATATCTAACAAAATCAACATCAAAAGCCACTCCATGTCTTGCTCTATTATGTAACACTTCTGCAAGGTCAAGATCACCCTTTTCCATAATAAGATAAATTGATGTCTCAGTAACTGCATGATCAATAAGTTTAACTACTCTTGTGCAAGACCTTAATTTCTGAAGCAATGCAATTTCACCTTGAAACCCATTGATATCTTCATGATTGTCAAGGGTAACTTTTTTAAGTGCATAAAAACAGTTGTTGCTTAAAAGTTTTACCCTGTACACTTTTGATGAACCACCTTTCCCAAGAAGCTCAAACTTTTCGTACTGTTTCCCATTAATAACTAATGCTCTTCTATTTCGTGATGACTGGGGTCTATCTGAAGCCATTATTGTAGAGGAAGCAGAGACACCAGCCTGTATAGACGAGACATTTGACTCAGAAACAGCATTTGATGATGGAATTTGGTTCTGTTGATTGGTGGGGATAGGGGAGGCGCCAACTCTCGGCGATTGATTCGGAACCAAATTGGGTGAAACTGACTTTGGGAGTTTTGGTTTACGGAAACTATCGACTTGATTCACAGGAATATCACGAAGAGGCACTCTTGGTTGATCTTTCTCTCGAGAATTCTTATCCTCAAATGGAGATTGAAGAGCTGGAAGTTCAGTTTCTCTTATTAATATTTCCTGTGCCACTTTTTCTTGTTCTCTTTTCAACAATATTTCCTTTTCCTGAAGTTCCCGTCTTCTTGCTTCTACTCGTTTCATAATGTCTTCTTCATCTTCTCGACTCAATAAATGTCCACTTAACCTAGGGGAAAATCTATCAATACTTGGTGCTTGCTGTTGGACATCTGTACGTATGCTATTTTTTGAAGAATCGCCAGGAGTATCATTGTTATCAACTAAATTATTTGCCGCATTTGGTGATGATGAATGATTGTTTGTTTCACTGATTCTTCTTGCACGGCCCAACAGTTTACCGAATCTTCTAGTTCTTTTGACACGAATTTCTGATGGAGTTTTAACTTCTGGAGCAGTGGTTGCAGAAGTAGCAGAAGTAATACCAGTCATTCTATCATTTGTCAAATGGGTCAATGACTTGGATATCTCAAGTGATGAATCATTGTTTGTAAGATGGACTGCAAGTTTATTTCGTAGTGTATTGTCTCGTTTATTTGCCTCTGGAAAATCCAATTCATATTTCCCTGTCACTTTGTTTCTATTAGTGGAAGATTTAGATCGTTCATTAAAACACTGGATTCCATATGAACTTAATGCTGGTGGTAGGACGGTTTGGTCATCTTCAAAAGGTAGGCGTCGTTTCGTAGAGCTACTATTGTTTTGACCATATGGTGATGACAGATAATGCAGATGCAGATGTAGATTTAGATGCAGATTTATGGATGAAGTTATAGCCAGACCCAAAGGTATATCATCTGGCATTATTGAATATGTTTATGGACCAAGTCTATGAAGTAGGGGTTGTTTACTTTTGTTATAATAACTGTAAGCTTTTTTTTTCTTTTTCCGTTTTTTTTTTGTTTACAAATTGTCACAGAAAGGGAAGAAGAAGAGAAAGCTAAAAACAACAGAAAAAAAAATTAAAAATCATCAACGCGCCTTTGATGATCTTTTATTTCGCGACTTTACTCTTGTTGATTTCTTTGTGTATGTGTATATATTGTATTCTTCTATACTTTCCATGTTTTCTTACTTTTGCCAACACTTATCCAGAGAATTGTTAAGCATATTGTAGATGCAGCTAATAAGGAGCCATTATATATGATTGCATTTATATAGTTCTTTGGCTGAGATCCATTATGCACAATTAAGGTAGCACCAATGGGACTACCAATTATTACACCAATTCCTCTTGCAAAAACCAGAATTCCATTCAACTGTGAATACATATTCATTCCAAATACTTCAATCAATATAGAAGGCAATAGTGCAATTATTGCTCCAGAGAAAACACCATATAGAACCACCAATGCAAGAAAAGTTTCACGTAATCCTGGGAGCCACAATCCAAATACGAATGCTGCACTTAAGATGCTGCAAACAATTAAAGTATTTAACCTTCCAAACATATCTGCCAAACTACCCAAAAACACCTTGGATCCTGCATTTACCAAGTTGTTAATTCCAATGAAAAGAGCCCCTTGACTTCTTGTGAACCCTAATGAGACAGCATATTTGGACATGAATATCAATGGCATCAAATATCCAGCTGATTGTAATAACGAACCTAATAACTGCAAGATGATTTTACCAGAACGAATTTGACTAAAATTTAACAAACCGTTGGCATTTGATTTAAATCCCGGGATTTTTGGTTCAACCACTAGAATACTAGCAAAACTACCCACAGCGAAATTCATTAATCCCAATGTTCGTACTGTCCATTTCCATCCCACGGCTTCAAGCAAGTAACGAGTAAACAATGCAATGGAAAACGCACCAACACCGGTACCAGAAAACAAAAAGCCCATTGCCAAACTTCTATGCTTGTCAAAGTATACGGGAGCACAGATAACTGGCGGGATATACAATACACTTCCACCAACACCTTGTAAGATGGAACATAATACAAATTGATAATAAGAGGAAGCAAAACCAGTTAGTATTAACCCCAATGACAGTAATCCGCATCCGATCAACATGACATTTCGAGGACACATATAGTACATTAAAGTTTTATTGAATATAGCACACAAGTAGATTAATGAATTACTAATAGTACCAATAAGAGCAATTTTTGATTCTGAATAATTGAACAATGGACCAACAAATGAACCATAAAATTCCTGGAAGACACCATAGGAAAATCCAATCCCAAATACCATAAAATTACAAAGAAATCCGGCAAATACAGTTTGCAACCCTAACCTTAATAAAGTTGATGAGTTTTCATCCAACTGGGTGTTGTCCTCTAGAGTTAGTTCATCTTCTGGATGAGATAATGAGTGTTCCGAATTCATGTTACTAGAAGTTTAATTCATTGGCTGACTTAATTTTTTTTGTCTGAATTGTTTCTGAACTTTTTGTTGACCATTTATAATGACTAATCAAATACGTACGTACAATTAATGTGTCATAATGGGCAAAAATGAATGGTTTCATGTGAGGGGTAAGGGAAAAGTACGGGTTTGAAAGCATGAGAGTCCAATTGAATTCAGGAAATTTCCGGAAATAAATGTAAATTAAGTAAAAAAGGATTTACAACAAAATAACCCATACATGTGAATGCTTCACTACTTCCAACAAATCGTCTTCGTGGCTTAGTTGGCTAAAGCGTCAGTCTCATAATCTGAAGGTCGCGAGTTCGAGCCTCGCCGAGGACATTTGTTTTTTCTTTTTTGTCCCGTATTTAGATTTGATGCGGTTTTCTTTTTTTTTTTTTAACGAGGAAATAGAGGACCCTTTGCACATATTAATTTAGTTTACATCAACATAGTACTTCCGACAATGACTTATGTATTTGATCTATTTCTATTTAAAACCCACCTGTCAAATCTCTGATTTTGTCGACCTCTTCTTGTAATGCTTTCAAATCATCCAAAATATTGGCTGTTGAATCATTATTTGTCGAATATACATCGTTAACAGCAATTTTTGGTGGTAATGGGGGAGGAATATTAGGATCCGACGGGTATTGTTGTTGCTGTTGTTGCTGTTGTTGATATTGTGGTTGTTGTTCGACTGGTTGCAGCGGCACTCTGTTTCTTCTTGGCGGTGGAGGAGGCGGAGCTGGTTTATTTGGTAGAGGCGAAGACAAGGATCTATGTCTTGAGGGTGGTGGAGCTGGTGCCATATTACTGTTCTGAATAGTATTTTGCATTGTTGGACCAGTCATCTGACTCGTAAATGCTGATAACGAAATCACTGGGTGTCCATTATTATCATTACCATTATTAATAATATTACCATTAATGTTGCTATTATTATTATTATTATCGGATTGTGAAGATGGTGGAGAAAACATTCTTGCCATATCTGCAGGGCCAGTTATATTAGGTCTCAAAGGTTCTGGGGAGGGACTAAATATTCGTGCCATTTGGGCAGGACCAGTCATATTTGGTTGAAGATATGGTGTACCACCAACACTCATCGTATCGACGGTATTTAAATGTTGAAAGTGGTTCATTTGTGATTCCATATCCTTGAGTACTTCTTTTTCTTCCTCGTCTGGTTTCTTCATTCGTTCCAATAATTGGTCCATTGGTAACAGATAATCCATTTGTTGTTGTTCAACAGGTAGAGGCGACTCTGCTGGACTAATTGCTCTAGCATCATGCACATCAATTTGATCCGAGAATTTAACAGATTTCAATTTTTTAGATCTTTTGTTGTTTGATGGTCTTTCACCGGTTAACAAAAACTGGGTGAAACTGTCGATATCCAAAGGTTGTTTATCATTAGAGTCTTGTTCAAGATCCTCTTCATCTTCTTTTTGCCTCTTTTTAGATAGAATAGATGGTGGACAAGGGACAGTTGTTTGTTCTTTGATCAAGTTTCTAGACGGCTCTTTACCCTGTAAGACATGACTTATCATTCTAAGTAATGCGAAAAACTCCCCAATATTGATAGACGATAATATTTTAAAAAAAATCTTGTTGATTTTCTCCTTTGCGTCTTGAGGGATCTTGAAATTGTTTAAAAAATTGTAGACATCATTTATAGTCACTGTTCGACTACTGGTTCGGGCTAGAATATCACTATACCACCTCATATAAGTTTTTGATTCCTGCAAGGTTAAATCTTGTGCTGTTAAAGATAAGGGAATGGATTGATCGGAATATTTTAAAGCTGCTATATTGTCATAGCTATTGTTGTCACTATGTACCTGCATTGACGGATGGTTTCGGGGGTTCAATTGATCCAGTGAATTGTTCTTGAAATGTTCAGGGTAAAGGTGTTGTATGCTTTGGAAATTTAATGGCGCGGGCGAATTGCTATTACTATGTGGACGTCCATCTTGCCAGTTGTACCCATTCATGATTGTGTATATGTACTTGGTAAGAATGTGTGTTGGGGAGTATGAATGCTAGTTTGTTGGTGTATATCTTTATAGATCGACCGTATAGAAAAGCTCGTAGTGTGGTGGGAAGATGAAAGGGAGTGAGAAAGAAAGGAAAAACTCACTTTTTTTTTTAGTATTCTTTTCTTTTTTTATTTATCGTTAACATTCTCTCTCTCTCTTTCTGATTTTTGTTGATTTGTTGTTCACCTATTTTGTACGATATTTATTTTTATTCCCTCGCACTAATGTGGTCGCGGTTTGAAGCCGGCCAGAAAATAATAATTATGAAATTGTTACAGGTAGGGGGTCGTGTATGTCATATGTTGCACTAGTGTGACAAATTTTACTAATAAACAGTATATATATATATATATATATATATTCACTAACTAACATTATAAAAACTACAAACCAAACTGAAATTAAAAATTACAAATGAAAAAAAGACGGGTGTAACACAAAAAAAAACAAGAAGTAAACCGTTATAAATCATCTAGATTTAGTCTCTCATGGCTTCTTGCATAGCCACGGTATCAATAATGGTTCGATTTGAGGAGCTTGGAAGATGGTCTTGAAGCATTGGAGCATCCAAGTCTTGGTCCTCATCATCGGATTCAACAATCTTTGATTTTTCATAGGTGTTGTCATTATAATTAGAAACCATTCTATCAATCTCCAGTGATGGTGGTAAGAAGATAACCTTGCTGTTGGCCGTTTTACCCAACTGAATTAATGTATCTAAAAATCTAATATTCATTGCTGCTTTGGAAGACAAAATATCAGCACTCTTACGGTACAATCTGGAGGCAATGACTTCTGATTTTGCATTGATGATCTTGGCTTCACCAATACGACGAGCTTCAGTAGCTTTAGAAAGACTATCCTGGACTTGTTGTGGCAACACCAAATCTTTAATCAAAATACTTTCGACATTGACACCCCAATCAGCAGCAGTTTTAGCAATGATATGTTCGATAGTGGCTGCAACTTCTTCTCTCTTCTCAACAACATCTTGCAAGACTCTACCACCAATAACATCTCTTAATGTAGTTTGAGTTCTTTCAACAATTGCTTGATTAATATCAGAAATGTCAAATATAGCCTTCATTGGATCAATAATATTGTAGTAAACAACCGAAGTGATGGTGATACTAACATTATCTTTTGTGAAACAGGTTTGCGCTGGGATTTCTCGAACATTGATTTTGATAGAAACTCTCGTCAACTTTTCAGACCAAGTATTAACATATGATAAACCAGGCTCAACAGTACGAGTTAATGCACCAAAAGTTTGCACTAATCCAACTTCACCTTGGGAAACTTCTTGATATGGGTTTGTACACAAACAACAAAACATACCACAGGTACCAAACATATTACCCAAACCTTGAATAAGTTTCTGATAACCATTGAGGGGAGCTTGTTCATAAGTTCTGGCAAAATTTCTCAACACCATTTCTGGTTTTTTGGTTGGTTCGTCTATGATATTTGAAGATTGTCCCTTTTTATAAGCAACAGGATCAAATGATTCAGTGGAGCTATTGGAATTGTTTAATTTGTCACTCATGTTTATAGTAGATTAAGTTCAATTGGATATGATAATTGTAAAGTTGATGTGACTAAGCAAAAATAAATACTATTTAAAAGAATAGCAATTTTCAAGGAAAGAACAATTGAAAAAGGGAATTCATTGTAATATTTATAGTTTTTCTTAATTTGTAGAGGAGAGAATAAATTAAACCATTTGATTTATAATTTATCATATTTTGCTTTGTTTTATTGTTAACCCCGTCTTGTAAATTTTTTTCAACATTCCGATGGTGGTGGTGGTGGTGTTACTTTGTGTTGTAGGGCGGTAGCATGTAAGCAAAAATAATCTGGTTCGGCTGCGAGTCCTCGACCCTCCTTCAAACAATGCAACAATAGAAAAAAAAGCTTAATGTTATTGTGTACCCATTCTAAATCAAAACACACAATAAAAATGATAAACGTCACGCATTTAACTTCACAAATCTATCACTGATTACGTAATCGGCTTAAACTTATTGTTTGGGGAGATCTTGGCGAATGTAGGAAAAGGAAAAGGAAAAGGCTGTAGCAGATTTATGTACAAGGGATGCACGTGTGTTAATTGTCAAGTACGAGAATTCAATTAACCTTATTAATTGTTTAACCAGCCAGTCATCACGTCATGTACGAAAATGATTGACGGCATCGGTTTTGGGCGCAAAAACTTCAACTGAATAAACTGAACTTTTTTTATTACTATTAATGGTGTATATAGACATGTCTAAATTTTTAAATTTTCAATCTCAGCTACTAAATCCATATCTCCACCTAAGCCTTGGACAAGGTCAGCCAATAAATCTCGAGGATCTTCCAAACCAATTGATATACGCAATAATTTTTTACTAATCTCATCATCAGTCATGGCTCTCCATTCAATTAAACTTTCAGCTCCTCCCAAACTGGTAGCATGATGGAAGATTTTTAATTTAGAAGGTAATCTTTTTGCTTTATCTTCTGAAACCAACTCAATTGCAAAAACTGGTGATTGACCATTTGGCATCTGTTTCTTGATGTATTCATCATCTTGCAACAAACCATGGTGGATGGTTTCCAAGTCTGGGAATTTATCTTTATTTTCAGAGAGGTATTTCACAATAAATTCAGCAGATGAAGATTGTCTTTGGACACGCAATTCAAAAGTTCTTAAACTTCTAACCAATAAAGCACTTTCCAAATTTCCAATATTTGTTCCCAACACCAATCTATCAACTAATAATTTCTTTTTAATTTCTTGTGATTTAACCAACAAAATCCCAGCTAACAAATCACTATGACCACCAAAGAATTTAGTAGCAGAATGCATAACAATATCAGCACCAAAATCAAATGCATTCATCAATGGTGGTGGAGCAAATGTAGCATCAACAGATAACAATGCACCTTTAGCATGAGCCTTTTCTGCATATTTCAAAATATCTAAATTGGTACCATATGGATTAACTGGGGTTTCTAAATGAACCAAATCTCCTTTTTGTAATTCATCATAATCATCATCTAATCCAATTTGTTTCAATCCAAAATTTCTTGTCCAAATATCAGCAATTCCATGAACACCATGATAAATTTGTCCAAATGCCATTGCTTTAGGATTAACATAAGTAATTAATCCATTGAATGCTCCTAAACCTGAATTGTATACAACAGCAGGATATCCAGTGATTTTTTCAACAATTGCTTCAACTTGAGCTGCATTTGGATGATTTGCACGTGAATAAATTAAAAAATTTGGATCAGTCAAACCACCAGGATTTAATTCATCAGGATTATTGGAATAACTATAAGTGGTGGTGATATGAATTGGGGTAATAACATCACTAACACGCTTGAGGTGATCACCTCCATGAATAGAATCAGTTGCAAAACGAGTCATAATTCAATTTCTATTTTGAACTATTGTATAATTGGCAGAGTATCTTGATGCAAATTGAATGAAGAAAAAAGAAACTCAAAGTGAAAGATAAAAATTTATCTGGTATTTATCGTACTCAAATTCTAGGTTTAATTTATTGATTTTTTTTTTTTGTTCATGATTTCTTCCATTTGGGCGGAATTGTGGCTCAAGATCCGTCCCAACGAAATCACAAAACAAAAATCCGCGGAATACATCAACGAGCGTTCTCCTTATCGTGAGTCATTGATTAGGGACTGGACCAATTTGTTCAAAATAAACATATACAACTACCCTTAACGCTAATAGTTGGGTCTGGTACAATATATCCAGTTTTAATTTTAATTGGTTCATTATCATCTAAAAACCGAGCTTGATTTGCGGAGTTTAGATTGATCTTTGAAAACACGTGATTTTACGACATATGACTATGCATATTAATAATTTATTCTGTCTATTGTACAATTATATATATATATATATAAAATAAAACATCTAATAATACTTTACATGAATAATAAATCATCTTGTAGCGTGCTCGCTTCTCTTGATGCTTCTACCCATTCTTGAAAGCAAGTAATACACACATCCAATAAATCTGAACAATGCCATGAATGCAACTGTCCACAAAATGACTGTCAAGAATACAGCTGCTCTAGAACTCTTTTCATTGGCAAGATTGGTGATACTAACAAATTGGTTTAAACCACCAGTTGCAAGAACAATAGCAATGATGATAAAGTTAGTGACCATCCAAATTAAAACTGTCATTGATCTGATAAATGCATAATAATCTTCATTGCTTGTAGCGGTAGCTTTTTCTGGAGGCGGAGCTGGTTCTCTAATTTTTTCCAATTGGTTCAAATAAGATTGATTGATTTCTTCTTGTGAAATAGGAACACTAACATCGAACGTACCATCATCTCTCATCTTAACTTTTTCCAATGTTTGACCACCAACATCACCTTTGGTACCCCATGAAACATCATCAATGTTACAAAAGGCATAGATATTCAAAACATTAACATATGAAGGGGAAAGCAAGATATACTGAATGAAAGATGTAAACATATGCCATGGTTCAAAGTACAAAAATGATGCCAAAAAATATAATGCATATGTTGATGAAGTCGCAACGACCAAGTCTCTAAATGCAGCATTCTGGAAGAATAACGCAACTGTAATTTGTGTTTGCGAGTCATAAAGTGCTTTGATTGAATGAACAGCCATGAAAATAGCTGCAAAAATCATATAGGCCATCAATATGGCAAAGAAAACAACAATAGTCACATAAAACTTTTCTGTTCCTTTAGGCTTATTACCAAAACTCAATACAAATGTAGTCACAATGGATGCCAAATAAAGCCACAAGAAAATCACAGACAACACATTTCCAGGTGCAAACCCCAATTCTGATGCACTTAATGAAGTGGTTAAAATTCTGAAAACCAAAAAGTATGACCCAATAGAAAACCAGGAAACAACAAGATTAATGAATTGATAAATAAATTCAATGTGTAAAAATATTTTTCGTCCAAATGAATGGGCGCTATGCCAAACTTTGTAAAAATGAACCAATGAATAAATAGCTGCAAAGAATGAACCATTAAGCCAACGTCTTCTTTGCAAGATAAACTCAGCCAAACTTTCTGGAACATCAGTTTCTGCTCTAGCTGATTTACAATAACGCAATAACCAATTATAATTTCTTTTGGCAACCAATTCAAAACACAAAATACGATCCTCGGCCAAATACATATTGGACGTGAAGATACCAGCTTCTTGTTGTAACATATCGTGCTTCATCTGGAATTCATCATCATTAGGATCCAACTCACCACTACTATGCAAAAACTCACCTTTAAAATATTTTTCCAAAGGACCAATGTTATTCACATCGTTCTGCAAGGCAACATACCTATACGCAGAAAATGCCCCTGGCAACACGGAAATAAACCCAAATGCCGATTCTGTTGGTTTGTCTAGAATATTGGAAATCTTATACTCAAAGTTTTGACCATACACTAGCGGGTTTGTTAGCATTTGTCTTTTCTTTAATGATGTAGTAATCTCACCACATGCACCAGCAACTCTGTGGTCACGATCAAACTCCTTCCATAATTCATATAAAGATCGGCCAGATGGTTGAGTACCACAATCCAACAAGACAACAATCTTTGGATCCAAAACTTGACCAATAGCTTGAAAACACCAACGATGGGAGTTGATTTTTTTAGTATTTTGTTCTTTCAAACAGAATAACATTTGAACTGGAACAACTTTTTCTGTGGTTAACTTGACAACATCATCGTCAACTTTGGAAATACCAACTCTTGTGGTATACTCAAACATATGAGCTTTCACTGGTTTATCATTAACACTACTCTTGGCTAAACCTTCTTGATAAACACCCAAACCAGCTAACAAAGCTTGGGCTCTTTCATTAATCTTGGTACGACCGTCACTAACAATACAAACGACAATTTTTTTCCAAGAGTCTTTACCCCACACGGAAGATCTTGACTTTGATTCCAAATATTTGATATTCTTGAAAACCCCTTTCAAAGTTCTTGCTAATAGGATATCATCTTCATTATACATGGTTATCACAATCATCAATTCAGTTTGTCTTGGTCTAGGATAATGCACCGGTCTCAACAAATAGGCATCACGATAAAAATTGGAAGGACCACAAGTAACAGCCGTGTATCTCATAAACCCAAACTCTCTTGATAACCCACCAGATTTCATTCCTGGTTTATAATCTGGGAACTTTGATAACAATTCATCAGCAACAGGACAATCCAATACCAAATGACCATTCAAACCAGAAATAACACCTCTTTTCTTAGCACGAACTTCTTGACGCGGAGGCGGTTCTTCGAAAGAACCTTCACCATCACCAAATGATGTGGTAGTTATTGTAGGACCTGCTGTTTCCTTTTCGTAATGCTCAGTACCATCATCTTCGTCACTTCCCTCTTGAACAGTTCTTTCAGTCGGAGTATAATCCGCCCTACTTTCGTCATCAGCATATTTGAATGTAGTTAATTCCAAATGATCACCTTCAAACTGGTCATATCGAATATGTTGATCGTATTCTTGCTCTTCAGTATCTTCCTCATCATACACATGTGGAATAAACGCATGGTTATAACTGGCATTGTAAGGCTGTGGTGAAGATGCCAAAAATGGATCATTTGATTGCATGTACAGATTATTACCATGGTATGAAGTATCTCTCATTTCATAACTTTCATTGAAGGGATCTTCAATATTTGTTTGTGAAGTATCGAAAAGTGGACGTTCATAGTAGGCATCACTTATTGAAGTTCTCGTTTGATTTCTATAGATCGGCTCTGGTTGTTGAAAATTGAGCGATGTGGTGGAGTTATTGGTGTTGTAGTTATAAGTCCCCAGTGTCAAAGGTGTACGGCTACGTTGATTCAGGAGAAAATCAATGGACAGGTCATCATCATCTTCGTCTGTGTGATCTCGATAATTGTAAATATTATTGGGATTAAGATGCCCTTCGTTATTGTTTAAATGATTATAACTCATTTTCTATAATTAAATGAAAGATAGTAGTAAGTTGTCAAATTAATTCGAAAATAAAAGTGGCTTTCTATATGGAAAACGAATAAATATGCTTCTTTAAATAACGACGACAACGAAAGAAAAAAAAAAATGCCCTTGTTTTGGTACAGCCAGCTTTATTATTATATAAGTTTAAACAATTTTTTTTTTAATCGATCTTAATACGAAACATCTTTTTTTTTTGTCTTTTGTTCCACTGTTTACGATTTGAGTATCGCACACTACCGCGCTGTGTTTGAAGAAACCAAAAAATGTTACAAAGAATTCCTAAAAATAAATTTGCTTTGCTAAGCAATTCGTTATATTTGATTATGGACGTGATAGTTACCTACACAACATTTTCCTTCACGTCCATGGTTGATCATTGTTTTTTTTATCCTTCTCTTTGTCCTGCTTTTTTTTTCTTACTAAAGTGTATCATTGTCCACTGATATTACGAAATTCCATCTAGCCAAAGGGGCAGGATACCGTTGGTTACGTTCATGACCACTGTAAATTAATAATAAGGAGGCACAGGGAAGATCTTTTTGTATTCAACTGGATGATTGGATTTGGTTTTGTCTATTTCATTAGGGTGGTTGATTTGTGACACGAAATCAACATGAGACGGGAGTAAAACCCGCAATGCCTCAATTTAAGGAGGCAATGCAAGTCTTGTCCCATCAAAAAAAAAAAAAAAAATTTCGTCAAAATTGAAATGGTGCGTGTCACAATTAGATTATGCGTGTACCTGACTACAAAAATATAGTGCGAAAAGTATGGAAAAGAAAAAAAAAGTCAATTTGATTGATACACGTCCCTGAAACAAGTTTATATATAAAACCTTAATCAAATCTCTCGCGTCCTTTTTTTTTTACTTTTTCAATTATTCTTTTTTAGAGGCACGGGATCTCATCGATTCTTATCATGTATCAGAGATATATACCATGATTCGATCACAGAATATTGTGACAAAAAGAAAAGAGGTGTCTTTATGGTTATACTTTTTTTTCAAGGTTTTTCTATTGTGCTGGGTACTTGAGTGGGACGTCAACGTGCACTTTTTTTTGTATATATTTCTGAACATGTACCTTACTGCATTCTTCTGCAACTTTATGTGAGTCAACTTTCACTGACATTTTATGAAAAGAAAAGCTTTTTGGTGATTAAGATAAGTTGATAACCGGTTTTATCGAATGCAAATAAGCGTACAAGAGTGCATTTTCCAACATGTAAATCCATCAACCACTAAGGCGACTATTTATCACCGTTTTTTATTACTATATCATAATATTGCAAGATAGTGCATTTATGTTGTCAAATTTAAATTCATAAAGATTGGACCACATTCATTAAGCTTTTTCCTTTTTTACATTCAGTAGATAAAGTTCCTCAATCTCTATATAAATCACGAAACGTTTGAATTTAAACTCGATAAACGAATTGTTCTTTTTTTTTTTTTATCTATGAATGTTGTCATGTCCTTTAATCAAGTTCAAACTTTTCTACTCCACCGAATCTTTAAAGATTTGGATAGGAGCTTATTTGAAACAGACGATACAGTTATCTCCAAAACTGAAACTGGATCAAAAACAATCCCCTATGAATATAGAATCAAATCTCCAACTGCCATTTTGAAAAATCAAATTTCTATTTACAATACCATTGTTGGAAGAATTAAAAAATTACCTGTCACAGAGAGAAACTTTGAGTTTCTAGTATATTTATTCGAGTACCGTTACTTATACCTACGAACCAGTTATTTATCCCGAAAAAACGTGATTGATCTAGTGAGATATGTTATTAACTCATTTACTCATCCTATTGATGTGCCCCTTTTAATTGATACCATGAAAGCATTATTGGATCCACCGTTGACAAATATACTTGATGATTTTGCATCATTTGTTCGGTTTTTCCCAAATTTAACTAAATACTCATTGAATAATGCTATTGCACTAACATATGCTTACGAGATGTTTTTCTATCCTGATCTCGAGCAAAAATTATCCATGGTCAAAGATTTCCTTCGTCATTACTATTATAGTTTTCTTCATAGACATGAAGGTACCTTTCTAGACATTTTAGAAGAAGTACAAAGGTTTTGCAAAGAATATCATCCAAATAATGAAGAAGTCCAAGCAAATTATATATTTGATAAACTAACTTTATCAGAATTCACCACCGATGAAATAATTTCTCGGTTACAAGCAAGTGAGATGGAATATAGGAAAAGATTAAATGAATTCTAAGTCCTATACGTGGCTTTCACCCCCTTTAATTTTTTTTTATCAGCTGTTACTAATTACCATTTTTTTGTGTATATGAGTTTAGGTTCATAGTTCACTATTAATAATACAATATGCATATCCGTATATCTATACTTATTCAACCACTCAGGTGAAATTTCATACTGTTCAAGAAACTTGACCACAACAACAACAAAAAAAAAGAAGAAACTTCCATTCTTATGCGTAGCCTACATATTCATGTACGATAAGAGAAATATAGGGACTAGCAACAAAAGCATTAACAATGAATTTTTGCAAAAATCCATTCTCTATAATATGATTATTAAAATATTCCAGCAAGATTTCGCGATTTCACAAAAATTAAAAATTACTTCCACAAACTAAAAGGACAACCGTTTGGTAGCCCCACAGATTAACATCATCTTTCAAAACAACTTTGCGAATTTTTTTTTTTTTCTTCGCTGCATAACTGTGATGCTAAACGTCTTTCTTATTGATCTATAGTTTTCTGTTGTTGTTTTCTTTTTGTTTTAATATTGAATTTAATGGTTTAAGTATATACGTTAACTGAGATCATGAGCTCAACAAGGGATAAAAGAAGTGGGGGGTTAATTTGACCATGAAAGGGCACTAAATCCAAGTGGAATGTTAGAATTATTTTTTAGTTTGAGGAGAATTGTTCTTTTATTTAAGTAGAATCGGCGAGGCTCTTAATGTTACTTTCATTGCGGGCCAAATGTATATACATCTGGAAGCAAACAAACAAAAAAGAAATGGGAGAATTTAATCTGAAATTTTCATGCAAATCATCTAATTACCCATCCATCCCTGTGCAAACTATAGTGTTTTATTTTTTTTACTAACTTACTACATTAGCGATAGTTGATTTCTGTTTACTAAAATCACTATGCTCTGCTTGTCGACGCCCTAGTTTTGAGTGTTTTTCTTTGGTGTTAAGATAATTTTACTTCCCTATTTTTTTTTTTTTTTTGGTTGTTGATCTTTGATCAGAAATCCCAACATATAAATGATCTTCATTCCCCCCTTCAGTGATTTTATGAAAATCGATCAGAGATTCTCTTTTCATAGCTAGTAATTTGTATTATCAATAAACTACTTTGTTGAAAAAATGTTAAGAATATTCCATTTTAATGAAAGTGAAAAACTTAAAACCCATAATAATCGATACAAATATATTCGTATTTCAGATAATAGTCAAATTGAAAAATCCCTTAAAAAATCCAATTATTCAACTATTGGATGTACAGATTGTCCTAAATATTTAAAAAATTATGCAATTTTAAGAAATGGAATCATTGAATTAAGATCAATTATTGAACCAAATGTTTATGTATTTGTTAGTGAACAAGAATTAGAAAAAGCAGTTTTTCAATATTATCAAATTGAAATTAAAGATTTTTTGGTTTTTTATTGTTCGGATCATGATCTAGATTTCATTCAAGGTAAATTCCATTGTACTACTTCAAGACCAGTATTTAGAAAAATCAAATTCAATAAAGATCCATATTTTCTTATGGATGATATGAATAGTAGGGTTAGGGAAGAGAAAAAATACAGTGATGTTTTTTATTATATCAATGCAAAAGAAAAGAAAATTGAATTATCAGCCACTATACTTTCAGTGGTAAATAAATTTATCACAGTAGATAGAATTTCTTCTGTTCCATTATCATATTTAGATATCTACAAAATGTTTTCATTAAATGTATACATTAGTGGAGAAGGGTCATTTTTCAATGAGTTGTTTGATAGTAACGATGTTTTATTACCAAAATATCAACAACAATGGTGAATATCAACGTTGACTAATATACATATAATAATTGTTTAACGTCTTTTCTTTTTATCGTCTCTGTGTTCAACTTCGTCAACATTGTAAGGCTTTTTGGTACTCCAAATAATCCAAAGTAATACCATATCAACTACTTGCAATGCTCGAACTTTCAAATCAAACATTTCAATAACATTTCCAACCACACTTAATAATTCACTAACGTCAAAAACACCAGTAAATTTCATATGGACATATAATGAAGCAATAGTGAATTTACCAAAATAACTCCAAGCAATAAGATGAACCAAAAGAGACTGCAAAAATACTTTTAAAATTCTTGCATTTTTCCCTTTCAAGTACCAAGCAATTCTGATACCATAGGCAAAAGTTAATACCTGGGTTGCAATTTCAAAGAAAGCTTGTGCTTTTTTGGCCATTAAAACAGCATGTTTGGAGTTATCAGAATAGAAATCAGTCAATATAAATTTATAAGCACGAGTGACCAACATAGATTTATCAACAATTTCATAAGGAACTTGATTCATCAGAATGTCACCGATGTTCATAATATCCGACAAGGAACGTGTTTGAACCAAAGAAATTAATACAGTAGAAGCAAATATAAATTTCAACAAAATCGATGAAGGTTTAACAGGTAAATTGACAATTCCTGATCCAAGATAAACAGAAGCAACAATATAACGGAACCATTTGTCCAACAATACGAGCTCAACGTGGTTATAATAATTCAAGGCAAAATCATAAAATGGTATCACTAGGATAGAAGAAATAAAATGCCCATAAAATCAAAGAACACAAGACGATAAACTAAATTTGTAACCAAGAATGGGAAAATTTGATTCAAAACCGGAGGCAATTTAGCTGCACCTCCACTGGTTCTAATCATAGGATAAAAATAAGCCACAACGACAACAAATGAACCAAACATAAGAACCAAATTAACTTGAGTAGAAATTTCATTCAAGACATTTGGTGAAAGTGCTTCATTTTCAACAGTAACATGGGTGTAATATCTCAATGGATGTGTCTTGACATCATCATAAGAATACAATGGGAGATAGATACAATAAACTCCAGGTTTTGTAACATTATATTCAACCAAACCATCATTAGTGATTGTTTTATTATAAACAGTTTCAGGGAATGTAAATGATTTTCTAAGTTGCAAGTCAAATTCCACATTTTTTGTTTCCCCATTAGCTTTAATAAATGATTGTTTCGAGATAAGTGTAATTGGCAAAATCATCAAATTTGGCACGTTTCTAAACTTGAAAGTATCAATGTATTCACTAATGAGCAATGGGATTTGTTCATTGTTAACATCGTGGAAATCAAGGGTAATTTTAGTAATTGGTAACGTTTGATTGATAGCGATACAAGCAGCATTTGAATTGTAAGTCAATGTTAAACGACGATTGGATCTTCCAAATACCAATGCCAATTGGAACAATACAAGATAAACGAACGATTGTAGATATTTCATCGTTGCAATTGAAAAGCAGTCGAACAGTGAAAAAAAGAATGAATTGATGGAGAGTAGTCGACAGAAAAAGAAAAACAAAGTTTATTCGTTGTTCTTTTTTTTTTTCTTTCTTTCTTTGTGTTGTGTTGATGCGACCGTCGAAATCCATTTCAATCAGAATTTCAACTCTGTATGTAATCTATGCACCATTACCTAAACTCGGGAGATGGTTACGATGAGGATGATCTAGATGATCAAGATGAAGAATGTAACACCTGAAACTGTGCATTAATCAAGAGAGTACACGATTACTACTTAAATGTCAAATTATCCTTAAGTACCAGTCTTCTCCGCAACCACATGCGGCCTCTTAGAATACCAAATACACCACAATACCACTATTGAAGTGTAATCTTCGAGCGATAAGAGGAAAAACGTATGTTTAGTAGTGAAGAAACCAAAAATTATCCAAAATATTGGACGACTTACACCATCATATAACAATGTTCTCTTCATTAACATGGCGTTTGTGGTTTGTCCACTTTCTTGCAAATGGGTGTAGATGATATAGCCGTAGATATACAGAAGAAAGCTACTTAAACATTGAAGTGCGGTATGTGCAATTGATATGCCAAACACAATTGATTCGATGTACGAATTTTCAAATCTCTTGTTATTTGTTGCAAATAGGTATACTTCTTGAACATCACCATTGATATCAACTTTTTTCCTAACAGTTGCCGATGACCACCATGGGTTTTGAAAAATTATGGCGAGTGAACCCAGAAGTAGCATGAACATTAGAACATTGGCAGCAGTTGAAGTAATTAGTTTCTTAGTGTTCTTGTATCCGCTTCCAAAGTAAATACTTGTAGACACATACATGCTCCATCCAGACACAACCATGCCGATCGTGTCCGCAAAAAACATACTCTTAATTGGGTTGGAGTTGAATGATTGAAATAAATGAAAAACAAACGTTAAAAACACCAGGAAATATAGCCTTTTGGATATCGATGACAAATCACCAAATCTTTTGATTTTATACATAACAACAAATAAAACAAGAATCAATGCCCCAAATGTAGCTTCTATGCGGCTATAAAATAGCGTTTCGTCAATATCAATAGGATTAATCTGCTCACCAATGATAAGTTCAACTTTGTAAGGTTCTTGGTATTGGGAATTTTTGTTTAATGAAATGCAATATCTACCTTTCTTATCAACGTTCACATATTTAACGTTTCCTTCCATGTATTTTGTACTAAAAAATCATAAAATCGAGTTTCTGCTGTTTGAATACCATCAGAGGTTAGTGTTAATTCATTGAAAGTGATATTTACAGTCAATTCTTCTTTAATATTAGTGGAAGTGAAATTAAATTTAAACTCGACATTCCCATCAAATCTGTTCAAGTCCCAACATTTATAAGGGACAGTTTCATTAAATTGAAACTTATCATAAATATTAATAACAAAAGACAAAGCCAATTGGGCACTGAAACTAATCAACAAAAAAGACTTCACAAACTTCATTGGGTATGTTTTTGATGATAATTCAATTCCTCTGGAATAATTATTGGAAGAAGACAATTTGAATAGCTTTTATAGTTGCTGTCAATGTTTCCAGAAATAGTGCCAAAGATAAATACATCCCGTTGACTTGAATTCCTGGGGCTTTGATGTCATCTACGGAATGTGGTCACTTCAGAAAGCTAGAGTGTTTTTTTTTTCATTGTTTTATTTTTGATTCATGTTCTAGATAAGGGTTTCAGACCATGTACCACATATACGCATATAATTGTGATACCATGAATACATATTGTTTAATGGAAGAGTGTCGTGATATTTATCTGGCATTGATCAACAGGATGAAGAGTTGCTTATTTCTCTCCTGAGGGAATAAAAACAACATAACTATCAATGGATAAACAGCCCTTCAAATTGGAATGACTTGATTGGTTTCAAGTTTAGAGGCAACGAAAAAAACATTATTTCAATAACTATATTTATTGTATCTCTATAACCAAATTCAGACAAATCAAATTCAAGATTATGAGTTTATTGGAATAAAGTTCCTTCGAGGTCCTTATTGTATCTTAAACCGGTGATTGGGTGATCTTTGAAAATCTTGTCTATAGCGTCTAAATCATCATCAGTCAATTCAATCAAACTTCCTAAATTAGATTCAACTCTCTTTTTGGTACTACCGGAAGGAATTGGTAAGATTCTAGTGACTTGATCAATTCCTCTAAAATTTTTAGATCCAGATATTTTTAAAATCCAAGACAATGCCAATGATTCCAAACTTGTATTTTTAACATCATGAGCATATTTATATAACGCTTTCAAAGCAGGTAAATTCTTTTCAAAATTCTCTGGTTGAAATTTATCCAAATGATGTCTGATATCACCTTGTGGAATACTGGGCCAAGAAATGCACCGGGCCATTTACAACAGTATAATTCAGTTAACAAACCCTCTGCATCAATGGAAAAGTAGGGCATTGAAGGCGAGTACCATGGTTCGGATAATTTCTATCAAAATCTCCAACTCGCTCA